GATCATACAGGAGGCTTCCAGACTTTCTGAAACCCATCCCTGTGCTGGGTTAAGATCCCCAGCATTTAACTGTGAGTGTCTAAGCACCAGCATTAAGCCTTTTATTTCTGAATCCCATCATTATCGCCCCCCAAAATTCTTGGAAGTTTTAGTACTGGGTATTTGAAACAATATTTGTTTAAAGACAGACTTAGTAATAACTGGACCCTCCATCCTTGATGGCTTATTGTTGGGCATTTAAATTGTTTCCAGCTTGTTGCAGTTGTGACCCATGTTGCTGTCAACACTATCCTGTAGATTTTTTTTTCTTTTTAATTTCTTCTTCCCAGAAGGCCTATTTTTGGAAAGTGTTTGGGCTTGAAAAACATGTGCACCTTATCGGCTCAGTACCCTTGCTTATGCATGAGAAAAGCTTCATTCTCTTTTGTCTAGATTGCATCCTGTAAGACCTTGCTCAAAGGCTGCTTTCCCCTAAAAGCCCTCCCTACATCCACACTTGGAAGTAAACTCTTTTGCTTCCTTTTGTGGTGGAAGGAGAGCAAGCTCTCTGGGGTTCCTTTTATGAGGGCGGTTATCCCATTCACAAGGGCTCCATCCTCACGACTGAGTCACTTCCCAGAGGCTCCACACCCTAACACCATCATATTGGAGTTAGAATTTCAACATGGACTTTGGTGTGGGGGGACACAAACACTTAGTCAGTTGGACTGCTCATCACATTCCATGTTCCATTTGAGAAATTTTATATACATGTCTTATTCCCTTTATTAGACTCAGTGGTATGCTTCATGTATTCACAACCCAGAATGGATCATTTTAATACCCCTCTGTTCTGTAAGACAAAATTATTTTCAGTAATATTCATGCAAAATCAGTAATCATCACTATTTTCTTGATTTGTTCTTTAGTTTTAGAGAAATAAACAATTTTAAAGAGAATACATTTCAACATTAAAGATACTCAAATGCATTAAAAGTACTTCCTTAAGAACCAAAATTTTTACTTACCAAACAAAATATTATACCTTACAGTTCACTGTAAAATGTTTTACCATTCAAAATTTTAAACACAAAAACTATTAGTGGTCACATAGGACAACAGAATTGAAGTTCTCAGGTTCTGTTTCTTTGCCTTTACAATCACTATGTATCATTTTTTACTTTCAATTTGTTTAAATGCAGGAACATGCGTTAAGGACCCCAGAGTTGGAGACGTGAAATGACCAAAGCGAGTTGAAAAGACTCTGAATCATTACACACCTGCTCTTGCAATGAGCAAATGTCAATGAAGCCGTGAGTGTCAGGGGCCAACTGCATAACTGAGAGTTCTCTAAATTAACGTCATTGGAGAACATAATATTTATTAAAGAATAATAAAAATATGATTTTTTTGAAGTTTACATAATTTAATAAAACTCGATAGTAACCACACGTTACTTACAATAGTGACCAAAAACTTTTTTGTTTTTTTTTTAGCAAAAAGAGCTTTATTTATTTATTTATTTTTATCACTGATGTTATTTAGAATGTGATAAGGAAAGGAAGGCCAATTTTTAGCAGGGATATTCTTGTATTTATATTCTCTACAGATGACGGCCACCTTCTTGCCAGCTTTCAGGGCAGATGGCTTCCACCTCCCAACCCTTGATTTGACTGAGCCCTTGGGAGGGCAGGGACCTGCTCTGCAACCCACTGCCGTGCAGTGTCTCCTGCATGAACGCAGTGGTCCTGAGCGTGGACCGCGGCCCCAGAGGCATCTCTGAGGGTGTCTTCTCTTTTCCTACATGTGAGGATAATATTCTTCAAACAGAGCAACGCATCACAAGAGATCGAATACAGAAACAGATGAAAGAACCCAGCTTTCTTCCATTAAGCCAGACATGAAAGAAATTAGCAAAATTTCCTCGTGAAATAATATCTCACTTTTGCTCTTGTTGTTTTTTGGAAGATATAAGTTATTTTCCATACCATGTTCTACATGCTAACGTGTGATGAATTCGCTATTTTTAAAAAGCATTAAAATGTCTCATTTTAGTCTCTAATATGGTAAATATTGATAGCTGTATTCCATACAAAAAAATTTGGGGGGGGGGGTTCTAAATAATTTTGAGTGTAATGGTGTCCTGAGACCAGAAAGTTTGAGACCACTGTCCTACTTGCACTGCCTTCTAAATGGCAGATGTTTGTGCACACTTGTTTAACGAATGAGTGACTGAATGAATGGGCTTCAGCTGCTTCTAGGCTTTGGAAGCTCTGACGGGAACTGGGGGGAAGGGGCAGGCACCTGTAGGCTGTGGGGGTGGATACCTAGAGGGTGGGAGCTGCCGGGGTCTGAGCAGCAGCTTCCCTTAGAAACAATATTGGCCCTGATGGCAACACCAGTGTCGGGGGAGGGTCCTGGACAGTGAGGTCTGGGGATGAGGGTGATGGTTGCTCTGTGTCTTGGGGGATTCAGGAGGCTCACCATATCCTGTTCTCCTTGGTGCTGACAGGCAGGAACAACTGCCTGAATCTGCCTCCTAAGAGAGGAACTGATTGGAATGGTATTCTAGGGACCGCTGGGTGTCACATCACTAAGAGTGAACACAGTGGAGAGGCCTGTAGCCTCAGTCAGATTAACCTCTAGGTGTCTCTCCCTGCTCTTCCCTGAATAGCCCTGGGACCTCCACAAGTCGTTTTACTGCTAGCTTACTCAGTCACATGGTGAGGGTGGGATAGAAAGTCTGTGCAGCTCTGCCACACACTGGGTGCACAGTACATTAGCAGGTCCGTTAGTAGAGTCATCAATATCAATGAAGAGATGTGGGCTGGGCGGGGCGGGGTTAAGGAGGAAGGATCCTTGAAGGAATTCTTCCTGGCCCATGACTAGGGATAGCTGAAGCGTGCTACAGACCAGAGTTTCTCAACCACAGCACTATCGACGTTTCGCCCCGGATAATTCACTGTTGTGGAGGTTGTTGCATACATGGCAGGATGTTTAGCGGCATCCCTGGCCTCTAACCACTATATGCCAATAGCACTCTCTCCCCAGCTGTGACAACCAAAAATATCTCTGGACGTTGCCCGATGTCTCTAGGGGCGATGGGTGGGTGGGGGGAGGGGCAGTTTTGCCCCCAGTGGAGAACCACCAGTATAGATCCTCATCAGACAAGGTCTCCACGAGGGATGCTTGCTTCCTGGCAGTGCCTGGGAGGATTTGCACAGCCTCATGCACACAGATCGGACTCATTTCTGGCAGAAAGAATTCTGCTAAGAGATTTTGCTCTTAAAGGAACAAGAGGCCTCCTGACTCTGATCCTTTTTTCTGAGGAATCCTCCTGCTAACTGTGGCCACTTCTCTCAGCTTTTGGACAAATCAGGACCTGAGAAGGCAGTGGCTGACCAGCACGGGGTTTGTTGAGGGACACCTGGATGGTACCCAGCAGTCAGAGTGGGGGCAAGGGGTGCTGTCTCACCCTTTGACCTCCACCCCAGCGCTGATGATTTCCAGCCCCCAAGCCTCCACTGAAAACCAGTCTGGGCCAATGAACAGCAAAATGCATAAACGGATGATAGTTTTTCACACAAGGAATGCAACAGCAGCCAGAGTAAACGAGCCACCAGCATATGTGGCCACAGGGAGGAATGTCACAGACATAAGATGGTGAAAGAAGCCAGAAGCAAAAGAGTATATACTGTATGCTTCCATTAACAAGAAGTTCCAAGATAGCAAAATAATGGATGTTAAGTCTCCAGGGGTGCACAAGGGAGGCTTCTAGGATGCGGGTTAAGATGGCAAAAATTGATTAAGCACTTATTATACAGTCACTTTCCTATATATATGTTATACTTCGATAAAAAAATAAACAAACAAAACAACATTCTGAGCCAAAGTTCAGGGCAGGCCCTTCAGCAAAATGACTGTATTGTGAACCCAACGAATACAAATTGTCTGCAATTTTGCCTTTACGGCTCTAAGTTATTATCATTTTTGGATATGACTTTGTAAATGAGTTGGTGTAATTTTGCAAAATAATTAGAATAGTGGTTGGCACATGAAATGCTCAGTGGATGGTAATAATTAATACTACTAATAAGTTATTAAGTGACCTAGGATACAAAATAATAATTAAATGCAAAGGATAGCCCTTTTTCTTAAGGAGAAAAAAAGGTTCTGGAATTTTCAGGTTACATCTTGGTTAGTAAATTCCTGATTCTCAAAGTTTTTGGAGCTCCTTCCAAGCATAGCCTTTGATGAAAGAAAAAATCTAAGCCTCTATCTTAGAATTACTAGCTTCTGATCAGTAACCAGCATAAAAAGAAAATCCCATATGCCAGTCTTATTTGATCAAATCGTTCAGTTCACTTCATATCCGTCAATTATTGATCCTGTGCGCTGTTTAGCCAGGAGCCTGGAATCCACCTACCTGATCAAGCATTTGGATCTTTTTGGCCATCAATCTAGATTGTGAATTTACAGACTGAAGAACATGACTGCTGTCAGATTCCTCAGATTCAGAATAAAAACTCTGGCAGAAACAATAAAGTCTAGAGAATGTGCAATGATGTCTCTGCTTTAGACTCGACTGGGAACAGGACTCTACACATTCCTGTCTCTTCTGAGAGAGCAAGCAATTAGACAACTTCAGCGAGACGGAGCATTTCATTGCAAGCTGATGCAAATTAGATGCCAAATTAACGCTCAGAAAGATTGGAAACACTTTCAGATTATTCTCCACTGAAGAAGTCTTAGCACAACTATTTCTGAACGAGATATATGAGAGACTTCAACACCAGCTACAAGTGCTTTTAGAAGACTTATACTTGCAGACTGGTTTCCTAAAATTTCAGTCCTGTTATAAATGTCTACATGTCCCTGTGACCTGAGATGCCACTAACAGACCACCAAGTACACTGAAGCAAGCTCTGACCCACACAGTTAAGAACACTTGGACTCTTTGTGACATACATTTAAAAAAGGAAAAATCCATGCCCAACCCCAGAGAAAAGGCAGGCTCTTACCTAGTCTCAGGCTTTGTCCATGGACACTTGATTGGATAAAGATGCTCAAAACCAAGAAAATGGAGACACACAGGGGACTTCCCATTTCTCAAGTCTCACCCCGGGGTCCGAGGTCTTCTTGCTAATTTCTGAAGCCAGAGAGACCAGATTGTTTATTGATGCTTTGTTAGGAAAGCCTGCCCATTAATAATTAACCTTTAAACATGTTATCTAGTGTTCAGACTTTCCTTACTAAGCCCGATGCCAAATCTAAGTATATCTAATATAAAAAAGGTTGATTTACAAAAGTGTTTTTTATCTGGATACATTTTGAAAGTAAAACATCTTGTCATGTACTCTTACCTTCTTACGCCAAGGTCATAGTTCCAAATTAATCAATTTAAAGTTAATGTGTTGTGTTTGGAAATTCTGTCAAAGGTCGGGGTGGGTGACTTCCACACGGTTGCTTAAGTTCCCTTCTGACAGCGCTGCAGAGGGGATGCAGGCTCATGGCAGTGGTATTTTAAATTGCAGCTTAAGCCCAAAGAAAAAGCAAAGGGCTCTGCTATGTGGAGAGCTCCCAGAGGATCTGTTTTCTGTTGAGTTTAGCAAAATTGCTGGTGCCTGTGGTCAGTGTGGTGGGGCAATGTTTCTAAAACTGAAAGGAGCAGAAAATCTCTAACTTCAGTGTAAGAAGGAGTGAAGATGCAAAACTGGATGCCTTTGCTAGGACCCCATGGAGAGATGACCCTAGAATAAATACACTCTTTACTCCTCTGTGTTAATTAATGCTCCAACTGTGTGGAGGACTGAGAAATAAGGCCGCTTGGCAAGATCAGACAGAGGAAATACCACTGTATATAACTCTTATAATAATCCTTGAGTCTCTAGTTTTATTTAAACGTTATTCATTTGTTCAACTTTTTTTTTTCATACCTGCTTTATGCCAGGTACTGTTCTAGGCATTTGGGATATATGAGTGAATAAAACAGATCAAGATTCTAGTTTTTGCGAAGTTTATGTTCCATTGGGGGTGGGAGGAGTCAGATAATAGACAACAGACATAATAAATGAGAGATTTATGTAGATTGGTAGAATGTAATGAGAACTGCGGAAAAAGAAAAGTATAGCAGAGTTAAAGAGGGGAGGAGGTCGTGATTTTAAATAGAATGATCAAGGTGAGCCTTGTTGGAAAGCTGAACTTTGGGCAAAGGTTTGAGTGAGTTGCCCCTGTGGATTTCTTGGGGAGGAGAGCTCAGGCAGCCAGAACAGTGAGTGCAAAGGCCCTGAGGTAGGAACATGAGTGGTGTGTTCCGAGAATAGCAAGGATACCAGTGATTAGGGAGACGTCATTATAAGGACTTTGGCTTTTATGCTCTGAGACATGGGGAACCATTCTGAGCAGGCAGTTAGATAACTTCATGGTCATTGCTCAGATGAAACTGATAGATAGGATCTTCTGAAGCCACTAACAGGTTTGAACAAACTGACCCTAGGTCAAAGCCTGACACTGTGCTGTCCTATGGCTGCAGTTTGGAGACCATTCGCTGAGATGCATGATTTCTGAGCAGAGGCTTCTGCCCTGGCTCCCTGGCTGGCTCTGTCCTACCCGGCACAGTTAAGCAGGATCTCTGCAGTTTCAACTTTACTTATTTCCCAGAAATCTGGAACCTAAAATCAGCTAACTGTGCACCTTGGGCTTCTCTGCCCTGGGCCCACCTCATCTCTTGTTTTCTGGGTACTGTAAGGAAATACCCCCATCCTCACTTCATTCTTCCGGTCAACTCGCCAAGACACCAGTGCATCTGAGTGCCTTTGGGATCTTGGGTCTACTATCTACTAGCTGTGCAAAATGTTACTTAACTTTAATGAGGTCCATCTCTTCACCTGTAAAATGGGATAACATGAATCAGAAATAATATTTCAAGATATCACCTTAATATTATTTTCCCCCTAACATCCCTCTCTCCCACTTAAGAAGGGCGAAGTAGAGGAAGGTCAACAAATTTTTTTATCTTTTCAAAACTTAGAACCTAGGGCAGGTGAATTTAACCAAGCAAAAGGCTAAAAATGCTTTAAGGGGATGTGAAGGGAAAAGGAGCACTCACACCTTCCCACCACTACAAAGAGTCTCTTGGGCTTTGCAAGTGGGTGAGGGAAGGGGAGACTTGTCCATGAGGACAGAGGGAACAGTCTCTTGCTTCCCAGGAACTCTGCCAGAAGGTGGTGAGAATCCACAGAGGAAATGGCCGTGTGTGTGTCAGCAGGTGGACAAATGATGCCCCCTTGCCTGGCATGGGGTAGGAGCAGCAGTGAGACTCCAGTGCCGACAGGTCATGTAGATGGGGAGGACAAGCTTTTCAGTGGCCACCTATGTGGACTGATGACAGAGGACCAGGTGCTTACTCCAACCCCAGGCCTGGGTATTGTGTTTGATTTGGAACTATGGCATAACTGGGGATGTGGGATGGAGGGAAGGAATCGAAGCGGTCCTGAAAACTAAGAGTTTAGAGTTGTAACTCAGGCGGATTACAGAAAATAAAGATGTTTCTTGCATGGCAGAGCTTATGGACTGAGATTCACATTTCTATAAACACAGGTATGTCTGAGTATTAGAGATTTGTACGTGGAGTGTCCAGCCAAGTGCCTGGTTTGTAGTAGAAGTTCTATAAATCATAGTGACTTATTCTGGAGGGAATATGCTTAGTGATCAAGAGTCCAAGCTTATGAATCAGACAGATCTAGGTTCAAATCCCTGGCCTATCACTTACTAATTGTGTGTCCTAAGGCAAGACATTCATGATCTGAAATTGACAGACAGACAGATATATATACATATATATATATGACAGACATATATATGTATTCTAATGACACTAACCTGATTGGATTAAAAGAGGTAACTTAAAGAGACAAAGCCCTTAGCTATCCAGGCAAGTAGGAAATAATAATGGCAGTTTTATTATTTTTATTGTTGGGATCAAGTGGATGTCCAGGAGGTAGATTACAGCAGGACCACAGTGATTAAATTTTAGCAGAAAATGAAAAGAGTAGGAAAACAGAAGTGTCTGGACCAGTGATTGAGCATTGGACTCAGAGGTCGAGAGCTTAGGAAAAGAATGAGTCACAGGCCTATGCCAGGAACGACTGAATCAAAACTTCTTGGGTTGGGGCCTGGAGAACCTTCTTTTTAAACAAGTTCTCCAGGTTGTTCTTGGTCACCTGAAGTTTGCAAACCAAACTTAAGAGATCTATTGGAGTACAAGAATAAAATAACAGACCAATCAGATTTTTTTTTTATATCACCGGCTATAAGCTGAATGTTTGTGTCTCCCCCAAAATTTGTATGTTGAACTCTAACCCCCAAAGTGATGGTATTTGGAGATGGAGGCTTTGGGATGTGGTCAGGTCATGAGGATCGAGCCCTCGTGAATGGTACTAGTACCCTTATAAAAGGGACCCCAGACAGATCCCTTGCCTTTTCCTCCATGTGAAGTTACAATGAGAACATGACCTCGTCAGACACCAGATCTGCAGATGACTTGATCTTGGACTTCCCAGCCTCCAAAACTGTGAGAAATAAATTTGTTGTTTATAAGCCACCCAGTCTGTGGTATTTTGTTATAGCAGCCTAAGATATCACTTTAAAAATTTTCATTTGTATATTTATAATATTTATTATATATTCACACTATATAATTTATAAGTAGTACTATGCAATATATTAGTGCTATATAATTTATAAGTAAATAAATATCCATATAATTTGGGAAGGGCGCTCAAAAAAATTTTTTAAAGCGATAAATGCACTCCATTAAAACGGTGTGACTACTCCGTCATAGAGGAATAGAATGGCTTCCAGATCTTTATGACTGTGACATGGTTGACTCCATCAGTACCTTGGAATAGTCAATAGATCCATTAGCAGAATCTGTAGTTGTTGCCACACCCAAGAAAGCCCAGCAGTCTGTGGGGGAACTCTCATTTCTCATGAGCTGAAAAGGAGGCAGGTCTGAGCCCCGTGTAACCTGGAGCCACCAGTAGTTATCAGCATTGCCCATGGCAGTATAGCCCAGTTGTTTCTCCTGCCTACAATCCTCGGTCTACAATAATAATGGTTTTATAATTAGATTCTTAAAAATTGTCCAGTTTTTGTTCTCTTTTAATTTGAAGAGCTTCTCGAAGAAATCGAGGCTTCTATGGCACTGGACGACCTGAATGTAACTTTTTCCTTAAATGTAATGGTGATAAGAAAGTTAATCAGGAGAAAAGAAATACATATTTTACAGAGATAAAGAGAGCAAGTCCCAGGAAGAGAGGAGCCAGGTTTTACATTCAGAATCAGATTTGTTTGCTTTCGTCTTCAGAAACTGGGGTTACCTGAGAATGGCAGCCTCAGGCTGGAGTTCTAAGAAAAGAGTAACCTAAAGAATAACTTTCGGATTGGTAATCTTAGTTTTGTAATTTTACAGCTGAGATTTCAGAGATGCATGACCGAGACAAAACCAAAAACCAAAAACCAAAAAGCACAAAGGATTGCGAGAGGGGAAATCAGGGCCATACCCAGGCTCAGTTTTCCTAGCCACAAGTTCTTCATTCTGCACATCTGGCTTTCCTGGGGCTGCACTGGGCTTTCTTTCCTACACCTCAACCCTCTTCCACCTCCAAGATGAAATTTTTGAAGTTTTCAGGATCATGTCATTAGAAAACGATGACCTTCTGTTATTCCGGCTTGGGGCAGGCTGCCACTGGGAGAATGACCAAGCTTTGGGTTGAGTCACCGATCAATCTGTGTGGACATTCTTGTACCATATGGGAATATGGCTAAACAAGTAGGGACACTTCCTTAATTTGAGTTGGCTTGGAACACGTCCTCATTTGGGAATGAGTTGGCCTGGAATTTAACCCTTATTTTTTTTTTAAAGACTAGTAAACAAATGAAAGGTGAAAACGGGATTTGCAGATGATGTTTTAGACTAAAAGAAGGAAGTGTTTCAAGTATTTCAAGCAGGTATTTATTCATCTTAGATCATCACTCCTCACTGATTAACTTTTGCAGATTGACCTTTGTATCGGCTCTGCCTCTGACCCACTGTGTGAACTTGG